AGCATGGTAGGGAGCCCTAAGGTCATGCCATAGAAGGATGAGTTGGAAGATGGGCTATGATTGTGTTTAGCTTGGAAAAGTGGAGACTTGTGGGAGAGGCATGATCACTGCCTTCAAGTACTTAAAGGTCTGTCCTGGGATAGGGATATTTGGCCTGTTTTGCTTGGCCCTAGAAGAGAGAACAAAGAATAATAAAGAGTAGAAGTTGGAGAGGGGCGGATTTAGACTCAGAAGAAGGAGAAACTTCCTAATGATTAGTACTATCCACAAGTACATTAGGCTGTCTTCAGAGCTGATAGCTCCTAAGGGAGCTTAGGAGATATCCCTAAGGAAGGGACATCTCCCAGTCTTGACCACTTGTCAAGAATGTCATAGAGGCATTGGTTAGACTAACTGTCACTGAGGTCCCAACGCTGAGATTATTTGATTCCATGTATGTTAGTGTAAATAGAAATCATAACCCCAAACAGTGTTCTGCTGAAAGTCAAATCTGTTACTATGATTCTGTTCATTTCATTTGTCTCTGATGCTTTCTACCTTTTTTCTATATAATCTCATTTTTTCTTCACTTTTTCTATGTAATCAATCAGTAGTCACTTATTAAGCTCTTTCTGCCACTTAATAAAGAGATTTTGAAGTCCCAGACTAATAACATGTTTATTTCAAGAAATAATCATTATAGCTAAAATACCACATCCAAGTTTTGATATTTCTTCCATTCTGTCCCCTCCAAGACCTTGCCTCAGACTAAGACCACTTGAACAAGTTTGCACTAAGTATACTTCTTTAGGTCTGGAGGTACATGGGATGCTTTTTGCCTTCTCTTGCTCAATGCTTTAGCGAAAACAAGGTGTTTTCCCTTCTGATTCATTTTCATTAAGTCTGGAAAGACTGATTGAAACCATATTGAGGAGAACTTTAAGTGCTAGGCTGAGGAGTTTGTATTTTATCCTGGTAACCATAATGGAGCATTTTAAGGGGGGAAATTATTTTGGCAGACTTGTTCTGTATGAAAATGATTTTGGTAGCTCGCTCTATGAAGAATGTATTGGCCAGTGATGAGAATGAAGGAGAGAAAAAGAAATATGAAGCTGTTAAAATAGCCCTGTGATAGGTAGTAAGAATTTTTGCTTAGGCAATGGTAGCAAATGATATTATAGTGATCAAACTTCTGACATTTGGCAAGTAAATTGAAAATATTGATATCATTTTCTATTTTTCTAACTCCCTCACTTTGCACATTTAAAATGACACCAGTGTTTTCAACCTGGGTGACTGGGAACAAGATGGTGCCCTCAACAAAATAGGGTATTTAGAAGGTAGAGAGTAAATGTAGAGGGAGGATGATGGCTTCCATTTGGGACATGTTATATGAGGCCTAGAGAACCTAGAGGAGAACATTGTAGTAAGGGGACACCCACACTTAGGGGGTAGAAGGAGGAAGATGAACCAGCAAGAGATGTGATTGGTCACTAGATAGGAGGAGAGCCAAGGGAAAACTCTTCTATTACCAAGGAAGGACAGAGAGAGGGTGTATAAGAGGAGATGGTTAATAAATACTGGGAAATGTTGAAGAAAATCCAAGGAGGATGATGAGAACTAAGAAAAGGATTGGAATTAGCAATTAATAGATCATTCGTAACTGTCTAGTCCCTTTGACCAAGTGATCCTCCTATTGAAAATACCTCCAAAGAAGTCAAAGACAAAGACAAAGATCCGTTATATACTAAAATGTTCATAACCATACTCTGTGGTAACAAAGAACTAGTTAAAAGTGAGGGCTTATTGATCTTAAGATGGCTGAAGAGGCTATGGCATATGAATGTAATGGGATTTTAATGTAGAGTTAGAAATGTGAAATATGAGGAATTTAGAGAAAAATGGATGATTGCATGAACGGATGCAGAATAATAGAAGTAGAACCAAAGAAATGATATATGCAGTAACTGCAACCATGTAAATGAAAAGATCACCAAAAGGAGGTTGAACTCTAAGCAACTGAAAAATCAGTAAAGGGCCTAGAGTAGACATAATGAAACACACTTCACCCCTCAGGGCATAGAGGTGAGGGACTAGAAGGACATGATACTTTATATGCATTGTCAGGTTTGATCACTGTATCAGATGCTTTCCCTGATTACTTTTCTTTGACACATGGGAAGGTTCAGTGTGTGTGTGTGTGTGTGTGTGTGTGTGTGTGTGTGCGCGTGTGTGTGTGTGGGGTGTGGGGAGACAGATTTGTGTATAATGACTCTGCTCTAAATACAAAAGTTATCAGTAAAAAGATTTAGGTGTTTTTTTTGAGAGATGTCATTTGTGATCTTGGACAAATTAGTTTTATTAGACCAGTAGGGAGAAAAGCCAGAGTCCTATCGCAGCTTTCTCCCTATTACATTTTGCATCAGTGGAGCATGGTCCCCAAGACAAGACCATCCTTTGTGGAAGAAACCATTCCAAAATCACTCTCTGGCTTCTTTGCCTTTGTACCCACAGAGAACATTTATATACACACTTACAAACAAAAGATGTGGTTACAGAGCTGAAAAGTCCTAGCCAAAATTTAGTAGCAGATGAAGGATTTTTGTAAGCCAGAGCTAAGACAGAGTAAAAACAAAAAAAGCCCTCATGGTATTTTAACTTGTTAGATTACAATAATAATAATAGCTTCTTATTTAGCTTATTTAAAGGTTTGTTTGAAGCTCTTTACATATTATCTCATTTGATTCTCACAATAACCCTATGAGATATGGGCTATTATTATCTATTCCCATTTTGTTTATATATATGGAGCTTCAATTTGAGAGAAGTTAAATGACTTGCCCGAGGTCATACAGCATGTGTGGCAGGGTTTGAACTTAGGTCTTTCCAGCCCTGAACCTAGCACTTTATCTACATTATGTCACACCATCTCAGAATTTACATGTATGTTAGTCTTCTTCATTTCTCCCTTCTTCCTGGATCTGATTTTTGGTTTAATCATGCTAATGAATTTCTGCTATACATATCTGCTACCCCTGTTTTACAACTTTTCAAATGTTGCTGTTTGTGTTTAATATTTATTCCCTCAAAATCTGCCTTTAATACTCCTCTTTCTCAAGTCCTTCCTAAGGTTTACACCTCTTTCATGAAACCTTCCTTATTTAAATTATGTCATAGACATAATTTTGATTTATTCCACCCCATTCATGAGTATTAGAATCCCTTAGCTTGAAATATTGCCTGTTTGAATTATCCATATTATAGTTTATTAGCTTCATTCTTCCCAAGTGTATCAATATCTTTTAATGCCTTTTATAAACACTTCAGTACTTTGAGAATTGTGTGGACACCCACTGTACCAATCACACCTTCCATAACTTAGCAGATGGTCTTTGAGATTAGCTGTGTTGGAAGAATTAATCATCCTGCAGCCAATCTTGTGATGAATTTAAACATAGTTAGGCTGGTGATGGCATCATAGGCTTAGAGCTGGAAAGGTGCTTTGGACCACAGACACAACCCATTACCAAGCCTGCATCTGATGCCTGTCCGGTGTGGTTGGCACCTGTCAAAGCTTGTGATCTTCTGGCATAACTTGCAAAAACCCATTGGTATCTCCGTGCCACAGCCAGGCCTCAGAGTGGGGCCTTTTTATCTAGCTGTTTTAGTATAGTATATATATAAAATGAAACCTGAAGTCCAAAAATATATACTATGGGTAGAAATATATGTGATGAAATTGCATTGTTACTCTTTGTGAATGATTGTTGGTAGCTCTCTGTTTTATCATTCTTTCTGAAAGCCTTCCATTTAATTAGAGTGCAAGCACGCAGAAGACAGGGATGATGTCTCTTCCACCCATTTTGCCTAAATCTTGTTATAGTCAAATGTATTTACAAATAAACTGATTAAAGACACTTCACCATGTTTGCTAATAACTAAAAAATGCATCTCTTTGTTATACGTCCAAGGATAACACAGGTTCATAAAACATATTATTCTAGAAGAATTATAATTGCATTTAGAAAGCTCTTTGAAGTTTGCAAAGTGACTTGGTGGTGTTGTGGGTAAGAGTACTGGACATGGTGTGATGACCCTAGACAAGTCACTTAGTCTCTCTCAGCATCAGTTTCCTCATCCATAAAATGGAGATAATAATAGCACCTATCTCCAAAGGCTGTTGTGAGGATCAAATGAGATAATGTAAGGCACTTGTTACAGTGCCTGGCACATAGTAGGTACTGCATGAATGCTAGCTGTTATTATCGTCTCATTTGAACTTCATGGCAGCCCTATGAGGTAAGGACCTCAGGTATTATTATCCCTATTTTCCAGATGTGGACACTGAAGATGACAGAAGGTAAATTTTGCCCATTATTCCCCAGCTAATGTCAGATGTGAGATTTGAACTTAAGTTTCTCCAGTGACTCCAGAGTCCACTGCCTTATCTCCTATGCCACAGAGTCTCTTTGACAAGCTTTTTAACTTGATGAGCCATCATGAAAGATGGCTGTCAATATTACTTGTTTGCTTTCAGGATAGATTATGACAGTTATGTACCTCTTTCCTCATTGATCTAATTTTCCAGCTTGGGCCTAAATCTTTTTAGAAAACAAAACCGATTACAACTATTTTGCCTCCTTTATATTTTCATTGTTCTTTTGGTTACTTGTTGGAGCATTTTTTGGTGTTTGGAAGGGTGTTGATATTGCATTACTTGATATAGTGAGAGAAGCTGCCTTGTGGTTGCTGGGAATTCTTTGGTCTCTTTAATAATTCTGGTTAGGATTAAGCAAGTCAGGCCTAGTCAGGCCACCGGGCTTGACCTTTGCAGGAAACTCCATTAGAATAGTTGAGCCTTTTAGTCTCGACAGACCGAATATTCTCAAATGGTAACTCCCTGTTTAAAGGAAGATGAGGGGCTGTATTCTGAACACTTAAATAATTTTTCTTTCTGTTTATGTTGGTAAATGAAAAAAAACCTAAAGTCATTTAGCTCTGGCATTTTCGTGTCTTCCCAGGTATATCTTGAAAGGCTTTTAACTTACGCAGAGATAGATATCTGTCCAGCAAATTGGAAGAGAATTGTACTTGGAGCAATTCTATTAGCGTCCAAAGTTTGGGATGACCAGGCAGTCTGGAATGTGGATTACTGCCAGATCCTGAAAGACATCACAGTAGAAGACATGTGAGTTAATATCATTTATTTATCACACAAAACTAATAAACTATACTAGTTAATGATACTAGTTGATGATAATAACTAGCATTTCTACAGTACTTTAAGATTTATTAAACACTTATGTTATCTCATTTAACACTTAGAACAATTCTATAAGTGCTATGATTATCTCCATTTGACAAATGATAAAACTGAGTCTGAAAGAGGTTAAGTGACTCCCTAGTCACTAGTGAGTGTCTGGGGCAGGATTTGATCTCAGGTCTTCCTGACTCTAAGTCCGATACTCACCATGCCACCTAGCTGACATTCTTGTGGAATGACTTGTGTTCCAAAGAATTACAGGAAGCTACTCCAAGTTTTATGTAACTATGGTCCTCTGAGACTGGCCTTTTTTTTAAACTCAACATTTCCCTACCTCTTTCAGTTTAAAAGGTGGACCTACTGTAATCACTACACTGGTTTTGCAGCACATTTTAGCTAGTCTTACTCAATTTCCATGACCCTCCCCATCCAAAGTTAAACCTGGATGATAAACCCCAGGGCATATGACTGTGGACTCAGATCCATAAATTGACACACTTTTGCCTCTTCCGTTTGTACTTTGTCCCATTAAGCCATGGATTTAGCACGTCCCCAGGCAGTGAGGCACTCCATTCTTTGGGGGCCCTTCAAAGCTTTGAGCTATTCTCCTGAGTCTTTAGCAGAGAAACATTCCTTTCCTTTTTCCTTTCCTTTCCTTTTCTTTTCTCTTTACCATCCTTTATTAAATAAAATAGACAAACTATTATGGTATTCCTGATACTGAAAAGAATAAGACAGTATACAATTTCTTATTAAAAGTATAAAACAGATAGTTTAATATTCTTTCCAGAAAGAGCATATTATAGATTCCATGTCCCATTACAGGTTACAAATGTTAGGAACATTTATTTTATGACTTTAACCATAGTATTTGCTCATTAATTGACTCCTAATATATAGCATTAAAATATGACATACTAATTGAACTAGACAGAAGTGAACCCAGCTGGCCACTTTTAGTTGAACGAAGATGTGGTCAAGATATGATTTGATCTTATATTAGAGTATGTAGATACATATGGTATACTATAGATGTAGGATTATAGATTTGTCGTTTCATAGGTGTAAAGAGCTGGAAGGGACTTCAGAGGCATCTAGTCGAATCCTCTCTTCTTGCAGAGAAGGAAACTAAGGTTCCATGGAGGTTTAAGTGAATCATTCAAGGTCAAAAGGGAGTAACTTTTAAATATATGACCTGAACTCAGATCTTCTGATTCTAGAGCCAGTGCTTTGAACATTCTTCCATGCAGTGAAGTGTTCAGTGTGATTATTTTTTAAAAATCAATTTTGTATCTATAGGGAAAAATAAGGAAATCACTAGTAGAACCAGATTCAGCACCTATGCCTCCTCATACCAAGAACAAAGTGATGTTGATGACTGGGGATGAATACCAGGAAAATGGAGTGCTCTGATAGTTTGAATGGATGAGTTGATGAATGAAAATGCATTTATTAAGCAAAACATCATGCTAAGTGTTGGGAATACAAACAAAAAAGTAAGATGAACCCTAGTCATAAGGAGCTCATGTACTGAGAGAGGAGTACAAAAACATATAGATGAAAGTCCAGTTATTTTAATAAGTATGTATACTGGATGACAAAGACATGGTTTTATGTCTTATTTCTGACACATACTAAATGACTCTGGACAAGCCGCTTAACCTGTTAATACTCTAGGCAATTTTCTAAGAATATCATTTACAGATGAGTTACTGATATGCATTGGTGGAACAAGTTTCTGTAACAGGAATTGCTTGATTCAAAAAAACAAACAAACAACAAAACAGGTATTGATGCCCAAAAAATCAGATTGAGAGTTTTGTTAAAGTTAGGCTTCCTTAATGAAGCAACTGCCCATCTGCCTCCTAGGAATAGTGGAGAAAGTGCCAGACTTGGAGTCAGAAAGAACTTCATTCAGAGTTCTACCTCAGACACTCACTAGCAGTGTGACCTGGGCAAGTTATTTAATATCTCCCAGCCTCAGTTTCCTCATCTGTCAAATGGAGATAATAATAAATAGCACCAACCTTACAGGTTTGTTGTGAAGATCAAATGATTATAGTAAAGTGTTGTACAAACTGTGCTGTATAAATGTTTGCTATTATTATCGTCATAATTATTATTATTAACTAGGGTTTTATGGAGTTAGATTAGGAAATAAACAAATGTTTCTGGAATAGTCTGTGACCCTACTTCTAAATAATTTCTTTCTAAATAAAAACAAAACCACCAGAAGATTATCCATTGATTGTTAGATTCTTTGTGGCAACATTAAGCAGAAATCAAAAACTTTTTTGGATCCATTAAAGACCCCATCCTGTCAGTTGGCCAGTGCTCTGTGTGTGGCTACCCTCTAGCATGACCAGGTTCTATGTCCAGTCCTTATCACTACTGAGAAGTATACTAAATGCTTGGCCAGAATTCACCCAGCCCAGAAATAGTAATATCAAATTTAGAATTTATTATGGTTAGTAGTAATTTTTAACTTTCATTTAATTTACTGGATTCCACTAGGGTGTATGAATCACGAGTCCCTACCATCCTACCCTAGCCCCAAGTAAAGCCTTTTTCTTGCACTGAAATAGGAAAATTTTAGTTGAGTTAAGCAGCTTGGTGCAGATATATTTTTTTAAAGAACCAGAGATATTATAGCGTATGAAGAGGTTAAATTTAGCATTTTAGCCAAAAAAAAGTTACCGAACTCGTTGGACCTGAACTCTCTGTCCTTTGTGGAAAATGTCGTTGACAAGGCTGCCCCATCCAACGTGTGAGCCAATGATCAGAGTATTATGAATTCTTACAGAAGTTGGTTGATGTCTTCAAACATCTCATGGCAGGCAGAGGAAGAAAATAAAAAATGTTTACATAGGCATAGCTTGTTTCGTTCTACTTAAAAGGTCAAACTGCGATGTTAGAGTAGTAGAAGGTCTAAATAATTTTTACTAGCTTGGCTTTCCAGCAGGGTCCTGCTTCTTCTCCACGAGCTAGGTTTTTATGAGTATGAAAAATAATTAGTAGTAAAAGAGGCAGTGTGGTGGCATATGAGGACGAACCCCATCCGTCCCTTTAGGGATATGTGTGGCTCTGCTGAGGTAGAACACATTCTAAATCGGGCCAATTCAGTAACAGAGCTAGAAGCTTGTCAGAAGGTGGTTTGAAGGTGTGAGTGAATGTTCCCAGCAGCAATTACACTGTTGGTTTCCCAAATCACTCTTGTCACTTGACCACACCCTCTTTTTGTTGTTGTTGTGGTTGGATACTGTCTCCTTCCTGAGATTTGGTAATGTTTCTCTGTCCATGGTACCTCTCCTACTTGTATCACTATTACTTCCCCTCCCTCCCTATCTCCCTTCTCAGAACTTTAGTGTTTTTTTTTCCCATTGAAAACACCACCATCAAGGGGGCAACTAGGTGGCGCAGTGGATTGAGCGCCGGCCCTGGATTCAGGAGGACCTGAATTCAAATCTGTCCACAGACACATAACACTTACTAGCTGTTTGACCCTGGGCAAGTCACTTAACCCCCATTGCAAAAAATAAAAAATAAAAAGCCCCCCCTCCCCCAAAAAACAACAACCCACCATCATCTACCTAATTACTCTGGTTTAGAACCTGAGCATCATACTTAACCCTTATTCTCACCACCACCCCCCTCCCCAATATCCAGTCACTTGCTGCCTTTTCCATTCTTTCTACACACTATGTCTCACATCTTTCCCCTGCTTGTACGATCTAGTTTTTTCTCTTATCACCCCTTACATTGATTGTTAGAGTAGCCTTCCCTTTTCAGTCCATTCCCAACACATTGGCCGAAATAATCTTCCTAAAGCACATGTCTGAGCATGTCATTCCTCGGCTCATACGTTGTCAATGGCCCTAAGATGAAATAAAAATGACCTAGCTTGGCATTTGTAATTGTTCACAATCTAGCTAGATGTATGGGACATTGCTTTCCTTCCTACACTCTACATTCAAGCCAAACTGACTTACTTGTTGTGTGGCAAGATCAGCCGGCCATCTCCCTTGGACCTTTTTTTGGTCCTTTGCACAGGCTGTCCCCTGTGATTAGAACATGTTCCCTCTTTACTTCCTTTTCAGGTTCAATTTAAGCAGTTGAGTATTTATTAAGTATTTACCATTGTGTTAAATGCCAGGACTACAGATAAAAGCAGAGAGACAGTTCTACCCTCAAGGAGCTCACATTCTGAGGGGGAAGACAGTACATAAAAGGAAGCTAAAAAGTTTGAGGGTGGGAGATAACCCTCAAATTCCAGAGAGTTAGGAGTATAGCCTGGAGTGGAATCAAGGTGTGGCTGGAGGGCATCTCATTTAAATGGAAGTTCTGCCAAAAACCAGCCAATCAGAGGAAGAGGCAGCAGGGGTGGAAGGTACTTGGAGTGGGAGAAGTCCAGGGGTGGAGTGACCTTCCTGGGTGAAGAGATTTCTGTAGTGTGGTAGAGTCTAGAAAATCACCAGTGCTCCCTGGAGAGAAATGAGATTCAGCTCGTGATTGTCTCCAACAGGAAACTCTTTGTTGTTAGAGTTCTTTTACTTCTCTTCAAATGATCATGCATATCCTTAATCTGTTCACTTTGTCCCTTTAGAAGAATGTAAGCCTCTCAGGGGCAGGAACTGGTTTAAAAGTGTTTTTTTGTCTACTATCCCTAGCACCTGGGCACAGAGTCTTGCATGCAGTTGGTACTTCATAAATGTTATTGGACTTAATTGGATTGAATTATATATTTAAAGTTACTATTTTGCTGTGATGATTTTTGAAGAGAAACAAAGTATATTTCAACTCAGAAACCTAGGTCAAATGATCGCTTTGATGTATATGTCAAAATTCTGCGTCTAAATTCTATCACCCCCAAAAGAAGGAAGAAGACACTGTCTACTGGAGAATGCCTGTCAAAAATTCTTATCCCT